CACCACCCCTTCAAAGGACCAAACCATCACCTTCGAGTAGCACATATGTTTTTATATAAATGATTTATCACGTGATGAAATATACAACTACTGTAGTCACGCTGGACTTTATGACAAAGAAACCAAAACTAACCAACCAAAAACCACAAGCCACAGAAGAACAGAAGCTTCAAAATTAATTGTGAAGGTCCACAAACCTTACAGACGTCACAGAGAATTCAGCAGCAAGAGCTTATAGGTCCACTGATAGAACAGTAACTAATACAGCTCTTGAAAACCTTGGAACATACTATTTCACTAGTGTTCTGGAAGAAGTTGTTGTACTCTTCTCTACTCCAATTGTATACTCTATCCTCTACTTGGATTGTTGATTGTTGCTGCTATTAATTTACTACGAGAAGTGCCTTTATATATATATAACCTGCATTTATTTTGAGAGAGTACAGTATTGCTGTAGCAGAGAGCAGAGTTACTGTAAGCCCACATAAGCTGTTTTACAAACACTGCTCATGGGAAAGCTGCTTTTGCTGGGCAGAGTGTACAACGGCCTTGGCTACAGAAGGCATCACATACAGATGCCATAACACATCTCGAGCCAGCTGAGCCACATTTCAGACTACAAAGAGCACGTGGAACTGCTGTTAACTCAGTTATACTGGGATCCTTACTGCTGTTAAATGTCATGAAGCTTGAGCACCTTACAGAGGAGATGAACAGGTGCTGCCCACCGTGAGCTCCTAATTTGACACCAAAGATAACATAAGTAAAAATTTAAGACCAACTGTTTTCAAAGTAATCAGTTTAATTTGATCTAATTTCGCCATCAAGTCTGACCAGTATCGATCCTTGTTCAAGACCCTAGCCCCAAACTTCTCCTTCTGAGAAAAACCACATGATTTTTCTCAAAGCCCACTGAGGAAAACCACAATAAATGCTCAAATTTCAGATGGCTGTATGAAACACGTTTCACATCTGCATACGGATAACTGCACCGTTATCCCAGAAGGAACACAAGGAATTTCAAACAAGTTCTTCCAAAATAAGTCAACAATTCACAAAAGTAAACTTCCTTGAGATAACTAAAAACATGAAATGCTTGAGTCCTCACTATAAATTCCCACCTTCTCCCCTCCTCTTTTCCCCCCCATATTTAGTGTGGATTTTAATCATCTGTCACCTTAAGAAACTGCCATGAGCCGTCGTTCTGCAAGATTTTCAGACAGACACAGGCTGCACTGATGAGCATTCATATCCCTAGAATCATAGGATTGTTTCAATTGGAAGAGACCTGAAAGGTCACCCAGTCCAACTCCCTGAAAGGAATAGGAATGCCCACAGCTAGGCCAGGTTACTCAGAGATTGGAACTCAGTAACTTTTATCCTTTAACATTCAGCAGATAACTCTCAAACTACATGAGAGATATCTGCAACAATCTAGATTTCCTGAGCTGGAACATCTGAAAGACTTGAAAATAACTACTTAAATCAAATTTATTTCTTTGATTTTTTTTTCTTTGAGTATATTCTTTGGAGGAGCAGAATTTATTCCCCTGGTCACCACAGAAGTAGAACTACTTCTGACAATCATGGTTTGGTGGGATGTCTATTCCTTACCAGCTCTTTTCTTACACAGAATAAAATGCTTTGTTCTATCAGCAATATTATTTCCTCTTACCAACTAGTGCTGACTCCACTTTGTAACTTCTCTTTCATGACATCTTTCTACCACAATCACATTTGCTTTATCCTCACATTACTGTTTAATTCTGTAGTGTCACGTTTCTCTTTGGTATCAATAATAGGGGTGCTACTGAAACCCCTATTGAGTATATTCCTACTTCTGTCCCACTCTTATTCCCCACCTCTGAATATCTCCAGCATTTTCTCTGTTGGTCATCTCTTAATGATAACTGTCCATCCTATACAAATGGTAGCAACTTCTACTGCTAGTAACAACATGCATTTATCTTGGCTCTGCATTACACCAGGGGAGCACAATGCACAGATACTAATGATGAGCAAAGTCTTTCCTTCACAGTTTCCACTACAGGTTCCACATAAGCAGGTAAGCAAGTACAAGTTGCAACCTAGCTCTCCAAGACTAAGGGAAAAATCCAAGGATGCAAAATAAAGGCAGAGGTATAGGTCTTGTTTTTATTGTTCTTGTTGTTTTTCTTTCCCTATCTTCATATAAACCCAGAAAAACAGCTTTTGACAAACCTCTCACACATTCACACACCAGAAATACTGGTCATTGAACAACAGAAACTCTAAGGACACGCTGGAAGGATTTCGGACTGCCACATCTGATCTCATTTGCATGCACACATAGGACTGCTGAAGTCAAGCAAAACTTGCTTCTGTATCAGAAAGCAAGACTTAAATCTCAGTTTTTTGCCCTGCCAGCATTAGCCATGAGAATATAAGTTCCATTTTACAGTAGATCTGTGGATATTTGTGTTGCAAGAATACTTAACAAGATACTTAAATGGTATCTTATGTAAAAGAAGCAGACAAACAAAGAAAACCCAGCAGTTTTAAATAAGTGAAAATGACAGAAAATGAGCATTCGTAGTATAAGATCCACTACGGTATGAAGTGGCATTAAAGAGCACACACTGCTCAAAGGAGAAAAAACATGCTCTGATTTCTGTGCAGTAACATTTCATTCACCTAAACAAAACATGAAGCTGGTTTACTGACTCTTCACACAATTGAACTGTAGGGGGTGGAAGGGACCTCCAGAGATCATCAAGTCCAACCCCCAGACTTCTTTAGAAGCGGGACATGTTCAATAAGCAAAACTCTTACCATCCAATTAACAGCATGCAGTAGTATCTCAAGTTGCAGGTTCTGTTTTCATGACTTAAGGTTTATTTTCTGTCCTCAGTGAAAACGATTAAAAGCTTAGTTCAAAAAAAAAAAAAAAAAAAAGGCTGCTGTGTATTCTATAAATTCCTTAATATTCACTAGATGATTCATACGCAAAACATGCCACTAGACTCCAGAGTATACCACATGTGAAGCAGCATTCTGTTTGACTCTTCATGATCTGTAGAGACTATAATCCTCCTCCAATGCACTGGTTCTTCACCAGACAGTAGCCAGGCCTTGAAACAGGCTGCCCAGGGCAGTGGCCCTGGCCCCAAACCTGAAAGAGTTCAAGGAGCGTTTGGAAATGGGGTTTGAATTCTGGATGGTCTTTGGTGGAGCCGATGGACTCGATGATCCTTGTGGGTCTCTTCTTACTTATGGTAGTCTATAATTCTATTATTTCACTTTCATAGCAACACAGAATGGCTTGGGTTGGAAGGGACATCAAGGACCATCAAACTTCAACCCCCCTGCTACATTTAATACTAGACCAGGCTGCCTAGATCCCCATCCAACCTGGCCTTGAACACCTCCAGGACAGGATATCCACAACCTCTCTGGGCTGCCTGTTCCAGCACCTCACCACTCTCATAGTAAAGAACTTCCCTGATATCCAATCTAAGTCTTCCGTCCTTCAACTTAAAACCATTTCTCCTTGTCCTGCTATTACCTACTCTTGTAAAGAGTTTGCTCCCCTCATGTTTATGGGCTCCCTTTAGGTACTGGAAGGCTGCAATGGTCTGCAGCCTTCTTTTCTCCAGGCTGAACAAGCCTAGCCTCTGTACTTATAATATACTTACCATTCAAAGATTCATTACAGAATAAACACAGGTGTTATCCACATTATTTGTTTGGAATAAGTGAAATAAATCATAACATAACATTGCAAGTGCAATGCATGTGAAATACAGCAGCAATTTCCATTTGGGCTGTCAAAGTAAGTGAATCTTGAACTTTATTGGCATTATACACAAAAACAAGTGTACTTCTCTTTCCAGTATTCTTCAAGTGTGCGAAACAACAAAGAATAGGTGAAAAAACACATATTTTCTCATTGTCACCAATAACAGGATGTTTTGATTGCTGCTACGTATAAACTAACATAAATCAATTTGAAATAGCACTAATATGATTTTGGCAAGATTTAAGACAAGCATCTTGTCAAAGTAAGGTATGAACATGCACATTTTAAGTTATATACAATTTGAAACCACAGCTGGAATCCTTTGTAAAATTTGTTTAAGAAAGTTTATCAATGCATGCAGTACATAACCTCTCTTAAAAGAGACTCCAATCAGTTTGAGAGTTTTTTTTAATGGAAGTTTTCTGGCTTTATGCCTGTTGCTCAGCACAGCATTCATAGCTTGTGTTTTGCCTGGACTTCAAGCACTGCCCCCTTGAGAAAAAGTGCATTAAAAAGACCATATTTAAATTCATACTACCCTCTTTTCCACATCAAGTTTAATTCTGAAGATCTCCTAATACTCTGAAACTACTTAAGCCCCATCCACATAAGCTATAATAAGCAGCATTAACCTAATCTTACATATCCCTCCACCCTGATTTTAGATACTGAAGTAAGAGTAGGTCCTTTAAGCATGTCCAAAAAAAATTAAAAAATTTTAAAAAAAATTAATATAACCTTATGCACACTTTCCATTATAAAAATATGCTCTGTGATCCACATTTACATACTTAAGTATACAAGGGTATGAACACCTCCAGTGGGATTCCAGAATAACCTAAACAGTTTTTCCATGCACAGCATGTCATCAACACTGAGTATTCTCCATCCTATGGCTTCAGATGAGGTAGATATCAGATCTGTCCCATTTGGCTTGAATGCTCCAATTATGACATTTATGGCACGGAATACAGACACCATCTTCTGCTAATGAATTTGAAGTTCTCCTGAAATGAGTGACAGCAACTAGAAGAGTGTTCCTATCTATGATTACTGGATGACATGTGCCTCCCAGTACATGAGTTCCCTCCAGAACTACCTGCTTACATTTCTAAAGGACAGCATTTAATTTTGCATTCCTTGAACACAGAACGTGCTATGCTAACCACAGGATTCCATTTCTTCCACAGGCTACTCTTTTACGAAGTGCAAAACTCTGAGCTGCAATGATTAAATTTCTTTATGAAGCTGTCCTACATTCTTTTGCTTTTACTTAAAAGCAAATGACAAGAGCAGAGGTAAACAAACAAAAGCAGTACATAAGCAGCCAAATGGAGCTAAGGTGCCAGCAACACAGATATTCTTCCTCTCGTTGGAACAAAGGAAGTCCAAATAGTGAGTTCATAAGGTAACTACAGTGTAGATTTTCACATGTAAGATAGCTTCTGCAAAATGTATGAATGGAGATACAGTTCCTTCTTTAGTACTCATGTTCTTCAGCACGTTTTATCCTTCTATTCAGTATACTATCTTTATTCAACACACTGGAAGCAATCTAATCTATCCACTAACGCTTTGTTTTGTTCTGTGTTATGGTATGTCTACAACTGAGAGTAAATTAGTGCCTTATAGATAACAACACATGCAGGAGCATATCCATTCTTTTGCCTTTCTCTGAGTTAAGTCATCCATTGTGTCTCATCTTATGAGAACTATGATCACCACTCTTGACAAAAAGTTGGCCTAACTGGTTAGAAGTAACACATGACTATGAAAATGTTTAATCGTACCACACAAGAAAAATATTCCAACCATGTAGAATTCTGAATGTTGAATGCTATTAAAATCAAATCCTGCACATATATAAAATTAATTTTCTCCCTGTTTTTTGCTAGAATTGTAATAGAATACTATGACTACATCATTTCTACATCTCACTAGTTTTAATGTCATGAATTGTAACAGAATGAGTTAATTATTAACCACTGCAGCATTTTAAAGGGTTATATGGCTTGTGGGGACTAGTTAAAATAGCTTTTAATTTTACACTTGCTAATCACAATTCAAAAGACTTTGTATTCTCTACTAGACTTTGATAAATTGGAAGATAGGTAACAGAGAAATATGCCTGTGACAGCATATTGAAACTTGTGTACATCCTTCTTGTTGATCTTGTTGATAAATCCCAGCAGAAGGTTCTTTATATACAATGAGACGACAGTGACAGATTTTGCACTCAGCAGCATCTGCATGAAATCATGTCATTATTCCCCTGAAGAGAGAATCTGAACAACTGCATCAAAATGAACACTTCTACATGCTCTTAATACAAAAAAAAACTTAATCAACACTCATCGTCTGTTATTCTAACCTTGTCTCTACTAAAGCAACAAACGTGAACACGTGTAAACCTCAACAGTTCAGAAGCAAATAAACTGAATCACCAGTTCACCAGCAAATACAAACATTCTTTGTTGAACTATGCAATGTAAGAACATACAGAAACAAAATGACATTAAACATGAAGATTAATAATGAAATAATTGCAAAGTTAAGCAGGATTTGTCACAGTAAATGGCTTCTTTTATACTTCAGCTAGCAGCAAAGTATTTTAGAAACATGACAGCATCCAATCATTATACATTATTGTTGCTGTAAGTTCCTCAGCACAGCTGCTACCCACGCGTATTAGAGCAGACATGAAACACAATCTTTAATCAGATTTCGTTTAATATGTTCAAATGGTGAACTAGTTCATAAAACTCAAAATATAATCATCTCTCTCCAAGAGCCCAAACAATACTGACATACACAGACAAGGCGGTTTTTTGGTTTTCCAAGAAGACAAATCTCGAGTGAACAAAGCTTTGTTTTGTAATCAAGCTGCTTTATTAATCCTCACCTCAAAAATCATCCACCTACGATCAGTATGACTTCAGTCATAACATTACAAGCAGCCTTGCTTGCTTAAACAAAGGGCTTATCCTAGTTCCTGGATACACTGTCATCCCCTACTATCATCAACAGATGTTGCAGCATTCTAAGCAAATGCTCCACCTTGCTCAGTTTCCAAGTTTCAGCACATAATGCAGAATTGCCCCATGACATAAGCAAATGAGGTGAAGATTCTAAAGAGCATTAAAAAATTAGAACTAAGTCGGAGTTGTAATTAAGGCCAAGTACAGTACACAGCAAGTATAAAAGAACACATGACTTTTCATTCAAACTCTTATCCACAGATCACTTATCCTAACTTACACACAATGTACTGAATATTATTGCATCAATGATGCATTGTGTAAGAGCAGACCATAGCCATGCGCTTCCTCTGCAGTGTTCAGAAAAGCATCTCTAGAGATCTATTAAGACCTATCTTATATGAAGGGCTACGTGTTATTCTTACACAGCTGCATTTCTACTGTTATTAAGTTTTGTGGTTTTTTTTTTTTCAATTTCCAGGATAAAGCTAAGAAAACCTGATTGCTCAAGATTCTATCAAATAATTTTGGAATAGCAGCAAAGAAAGGGACACAAACTGTAAAGGGTAATTAGGTTGGGGACCTCAGAGCATCAAAACACTAGACTACAATGCAAATTTGTGTTGATATGCCTGTTCTCTGCAGGTGTGCAAAAAGGTGATCCCAAAAGAGAATAAGAAAACTGGCATGTTCTGAGTGTAATAATGACTTTGGAAGGTTGAAATGAAGAAAATGAAGATCTTCTTTACCTCTGCAGTCTGTATTATCAATAAAGTACAGTGCTACATAACATTTGCAACTAAACTACAAAAAAAATCAGCTTCTAAGGAAGCTCATTTTTTATATATTGTCAATTTCAATTTCTATTCCAAATCTCCAATAAAATACTAAATGTAAGACACTCTGAGCAAAAACAAGAGAGCAGAGACTACTTCATGCTCCATCCTGAGTCTGTAGTCTCAGCTCCTACTCTTCAGTGGAGTGAATCATTATCTGAAACAGAAACTACAGAAGTTCCACCAGCTACTGCTTTCATCACCTTTCACAAGAAAATGAAGCGGTCCCATTTGACTGCTATAATTTAATAACCAGACTGAACACAGTTAATCATAATATTAAAATGAAAATATCCAGATAGTCCAATAAAAATGCTGTCTCAAAACAGAGAGAAATTCAATTTTGCTGCCTAATCATTTATAATCAGATGTGTACAGAAGGACAATAAGTCTAAGAAGTGGTGGCATATGCTACTCTTGGTTGACAAAGAGCCAAACTTAAGAGAGCACATTCCGATATAAGTGTTGATGAATCAGTGTCTTTGGTATCTAACCTTCAAACATGTAATTCAGCCCAATAGTTTAATTGCACATTTGTAACAGGCGGACAAAAATCCAAATCAGCAAAGAGAATAGACTTTGGAATAGCTTTCCACTTTGAAAGACCTGTTGTATTTATTTAGCTACTATTTATAAACTCTTATTTCACTTGTATTATGGATTTTTATGCAACATAATTTCTCATTTACAGTGATGGAAGAAAGCCGTGTTCTTAATTGGAGTGTTTACAGTAGATTCACTAATTAGTTAGAATTTTATTGTTCATCTACTCTCGTTTACTGAGGAGAGTTTCTTTCACCTACTTTCTTTCTTTTCTCTTGGGTGGGAGCTGAAGGCAGAGAATCACATACTTAGTTGCTATCAATTATTTATCACAGGAAAACAAACATACTAGAATTACTGAAATATGGATATTGGCAGGTTTTGCAATAATTTCTGACAGGACAGTTTCTGGGAATCAACAGAAGAAAATAAAATAGAGCATAACAGAACAGTTGGAAGCAGCCTTCAATGATCATCTTGTCCAACTGCCTGAACTCATCAGTGCCAACCAAAAGTTAAAACATATTATTGGGGGCAGTGTACAAATGCCTCTTAAACACCGACAGTCACAGAGCATCAAGCAGCTCTCTACAAAGCTTGTTCCAGTGTTCAGTATGTCAGGTATATTCTTAATTAAGAATGCAGTGCTAGTAAAACTTGCAGAAGTACTAGAAATGAATTGGGATATTAAATTTGATTATGTTCTCCCCATACTAATGAGAAAACAAAACTTACAACCATATCTCCATACCCACTTTTTGGTAGAAAGTAATGGTTAGAATATGCACTTTTTAAATTACAAGTTTAAAACTGGATTCTCTTTTTGATGCAAAAGCAACTCATATTCCCAAAGATCAGGGAAACAAGTATGTTCTGCAAGATTTTATTTGTTCTAGCTGGAACAAAAAAAAGGCAACAAAAGAGCCAGTCTTTAAATATTGCAAGACTGCTCCAGAAAAGGAAGAGAACAATCTATTCTCCAGATCCATGACATGGAGGATGGAAAGTAATCAGTTTTAGTCAAGGAATTATTTAGGGGTAGACATCAGGAAAAAAATTATCCATAGAAATAATAAAGTACTGGAAAACACTGCTTGTGCAAGTTACAATTTTTTGTAGTTAAGAATAGTTTAAACAAGTACCTGCAAAGAATAACATAAGACCTTGATTCTGCTTTAAGAGTGGAAATACATAACAGATGGTTTCTTATTGTCCCTAGTACTCCTGCTTTTCTATGACTGATAAATGTCCCCTGTGACCACTTATTTCGAGTGAACTGGAGCTGCAGAGACTTTTTACCTGCAGCTCTGCTTAATTTTACCTTAAAAGATATAAAAATATTGCACTTTGGACAAATTCATTTTGTTCTCAAAATGAAATAAAGTTAAAAAGGAAGATTTTTTTTCCTCTGGAATGCAAATTTCAGAATACGGTATGCTAAATATGGGTACAAGTTACTGCAGCCATTGCAGTATTGTTCCAAAGGCGAAAAGATATCAAGTGTACTGCAGAAAATCAAACCTCCTCAAAAGGCTGAAATTATCACCAGTTCCACTGCATAGCCAGCATCTGTTTTCATATAAAAAAATAAAGTGTTTGAATTAAATGTTATTGCACCATCAACTGTTTTTTAAATATCCCCCACTAAGTCAAATATTAAATTATTTTTATCAAATAAAATATAAGGTCTTTTTTAATGTATCAAGTAGATACAATATATGAGCCATAAAGAAAAAGAACAGTCTAAGGAAATAACATACATCAAATCAGAGATGTCAGAAAACAATCACTAGGTTGTTTCTTTCTGAAGATTTGAAAAACATTGCAAAAAGATTGTGCAGACTACTGCATGCAATATATGCATGAAATGCATCCCTCCTCATTCAAGGTGTTGAAGCAGGTGACACTTTCAAGCTGTCGAGTGCTGCATGAATCCTGAAGTGCAATCTGGACTCCATAGAGTATTCTTTGTAGTTGTTTCTGCAAATAATAAAGTTCTTTTATTAGTTGAATTATTTTTACCTCACATATCAACTGAAATAACAGTTAAGAGCCTTCACTCATGCCACAGGAGACAGAGGTTGATAAGCAGATGAATTACAGTCTTCTGATGACATTTAAGGCTATCTCTACAGAGCAGAGACTTTTACCAGCACTAACAATTACATTTCCTGCTAAACTGCATCCATGTCTTAGCACGTCTCCCTCACTTAGTTTGATCATTCAGCAGTCCTTCCGACTACATGTTTGCTGTGAAAACACAAACTAGAAAAATACAGAAAAGAAAGACTGTAAGCTGCAAATACATTCTCAACTTCAGAACAGAACTCAGCCAGTGAAATAAAACAACAAAGAAATCAAATTATGTAAGCCAAACCAAATCAAAACGAAAACAAAAACTATTATGTTTCTAAAAGGCATTTTGTAAGACTGTTCTTTCTAATTCACAACACTGCTGCACAATTGGTACACTTCTCTACCCACATTAGGGGCAAATTACATTCCTTCCTGTGCTCAATATTTGAAATGAACATGCTGCACTCTAGTAAATTCTAGTTATCTATGCTCTTCTGCAACCAAATTTAAAAAGAAAAAAGTAGGTCAGATAGCATTTAACCTATTCTCAATGACATTTTTACTGCAGCAGATACAAGGCCCACAGCTGCTCTCCATGTCACAGCTTTCTATGGACTCACTAGCTCTAAACCACACATACAGCAGAGTGCAGCCCTTTCCTACATACAGCATCAGAATCTCTAAAAACTAAATTAAAAGGACATACTTTCTCTGAATACTCTGTGTGTGCAGCATACTCTAGTCCACTGTGCCTGAAGCAGTACAACAGCAAAACTATCAAATTCAACCATATTGGACAAATTCTGTAGTCAAAAACAAAGATCTACTTGCATACTACTTCTACTTCTGGCAGGAGACTGTCAGAAAAAAAAATTTCTTGTTGGTAAATTTACTCAGATATTCTTAATCTCCAGGTTAAAACAAACAAACAAACAAACAAATTGACTTACTTTGCAGTTTCTATGTATCTGATAGCTTTTTCTCTCTCATCCTGTTGTTTGTATAGAAGTCCCAGCTCATACATGGTGAATGGCACCAAATAGCTATCATATTTTATTTGCTTCTCACTAGGAAATCAGAAAAATACAGAATGGCTAAATACAACATTGTCTTATGTGATCAATTAACTTTCAAACGCAAACACCATATGTGGAAGTCCACGGCCACAGAAAACTCTGGAAATTTTTACCAGTTGACATTGTGCATATCAGTAACACTTGCAAGCCATGGGTATAAAATACTATCACGATCTTCAGCAAGCAAAGATTTATTCATTCCTAATTATTATCCAAGCTACATACACCCAGGACTAGAACTCAATGGTGTGACTTACAGTTGAAAAAAAAAGGAACAAAAAGATGACACAAGATTAAAAGCAATGCAAATACTTCTTATACACAAAACCTTATTACGTCAGTTTGCCTGAACAAAGCTTCAAAGAACTAAGAAAATTCAACTTTTCTTCAGCATACAAAACCTACAGAATCGTAACAGCCAGAAGGCACCTCTGGAGATTATCTAATCCAACACTCTGCTCAGAGCAGAGTCAACAGCAACCAGCTCAGGACTGTGTCCAGTTAGATTTTAAGTATTTCCAAGGATGGAGACTCTACAGACTCTCTGACCCTTTTGACAATGCTTTCAGCAATGTAATCAGTTTGATTATTGAGTGGTCCTGTGTGGAGTCAGAAGTTGGACTTGATGATAACTGTGGGTCCCTTCCAATACAAGTTATTCTGTGATTCTGTGACTTATACATAAGACTCTTCCAATCCAACCCAAGACTTTCCTTCTTCAGGCTGAGCAGCCCCAGCTATCTCAGTTTCTCTTGATATGATAGAAGCTCAATCTCTTAATCATCTTTGTGGCCTTTTGCAGGGCTTCATACAGTACATTCATGCCTCTCTTGTACTCTAAAGACCAGAACAGGATACAGTAATCTAGATGTGGCCTCATCAGAACTGAGTAGTGACAAAAGATCACCTCCCTTGACCCAGTGAGGACACTGTTCCTAATACAACCCATCGCTAAGGCTTCCTGGAGTTGACTGTGATGTTTAGGATATCCCCAAGGCTTTTTCTGACAATCTGCTTTCCCATCATGCTGCCAGAAGCAGCAGTGCAGGGAGCTTTATTCTTCACCAAAGCTTGCCATTTCCTTTTGCTGAACTTCATGAGGTTGCTATCAGATAATCTGTCTAGCTTAAGATGGTGCTTGCACACTGACAGACAGCTAAGTTCAATCACATCATTTTCTTAATCCCCCTCCAAAGAAAAAAGTTTAATGCAGGAGAAAAAAAACAACTGCTAAAACAATGCAGAAGCAATTCTCTAATTCTCATCACCAAATGATGATCAGTCACATCTTGGGAAGAATGACTTCAGTACATGTAGCAATTATTGAGGAACACAAATATAATCACGATAGCCCTCTGTTCTCATTCTCCTTCTCCAGCTTTTGTTACTGAGCATGATGTCATGCAGTATGGAGCATTTCTTTGATGTCAGCTTTGAGGTTAGCTGTCCTGGTGATGTCCCGTCCCCACCTCTAGCCTAATCCCAGCCTACTGGCATTTCACTGAGGGGTTCATTAAAGAGACAGACTCGCTGAGCATACCTCAGTAACAGCCAGAACACTGGTGTGGTATCAACTGCATTATAGCTACAAGCATTCCAGTGTCAAACCCTGTAGTATTCTGCTGCTGACTGGCAGGCTGACTTTGTGCTTCCCTTCACAGGCCTCCCGAATGCAACAGTTCAGCCAGTTTTCAATTCACACCACTGCCTCCTTAATTAGTCTAGACTTCATCAGTTTCTCTATGATGCTATTACAGTACACCATGTCAAAAGCTTCTTTAAACTGGAGATGAACATCCACTGTTCTTCCCACAGAGTGAAGCTGAGTGGTCTGTAGTTCCCCTAAGTATCCTCCTTCCTCTTCTTGAAGACTAGAGGGACATTTGCTTTCTTCCACTCCTCAGGAACTTCCTTCAATTGTCATGACTTTTCAAAGGAAAAAAAAACATTGGCCAGTTCCCTAAGTACTCATGGATGTACACCAATAGGTCCCGTTAGGTATATTCAATTGCCATGGACATACGTACGCCCAGTTTGTTTAAATGTTTCCTAACATAACCCTCTTCCACAATGTTTTTCTCATTCCAGACTTTTCCACAACTCTTAGGGATCTGGAAAATTCCTGAAGAGTGATCTTGGCAGTACAGAATGAGGTGAAGAAGGCACCAAGCACCTCGGCCTTTCCAATATCCTCTACAATCAATTCTTTCATTCTTTTCTAGATAAAACATCAAACAATTTTACAGAACATAACGTTTGCAACAAACACCAACATTTTGAGAGTCATATTTCTAGAGTTACCTCATCCACCAAGGCAAGCTGTGATGCACAGAAATATGTCTTTAAAACAGTCTTTATGTTCTATAGCTGCTCAAGAATGTAGAGAGCAAAGCTAACCAAATATTTAGTTTCAAATAAAAAAATCCCTCCTTCCCCCCCCTTCAAAACATCTTTTTAAAGAAGTTTTGTCTGATTAGTTTTTGAGATGCATCAAGCCTTCACTGGATCAAATATCTTTGGAGAAGGACTTTCAGGAAGTTTATAGAGTCAGGTAACTTGCTAAGTATTTCACTGAATCCATTAGAGATCTTACAAATGGTAAGACAAGCCTGATGGCAAGAAAGCTGCAAAAGACACCAGAATTATAGAAAATATTCTCATTTTAACAAAAAGTAATTCTTCTAGACTATTATTTATTAGAAGAATTGCACAAACATTGTAATTTCTTTTCCAACCTAATTACTTCATTAAGTAGAAAAAGAAATTAACAATAAATGCATGACTCAATGTAACAGTAGATAATAGTAGATATGGATCTAAAATGTTGAATAAATTCCTAACACTGGAAATCCAATTTGTCAATTGAAACTAATAAGTTCTACAGTTTCTCATTATTTAATGAAGTATTAGCTCCAGAAGCACTAAATACTGGGGGAAAAAGGAGAGAGAGAAACAATAAATTCACACAAATTACCTTTACTTACATTCATAGTTCTGCAAACACAAAAATATTAATTACAAACGTATCCAGATAAATGCATTACTTGTCAGTGTGATTTACTTGGCCTAAAGCATCACATTTTTATAAAAATAATTTCATGTTAAATTGCTGTAGAAAAATATAACCAAAATTTTGTGATCCTCCAGCTACTTTCAGAGATATTTTAACTCCATCCCCTTAACAGTATAATGAAGTTTAATTATACAAAATTCCAATGTGAAGGTTTCTGCAGAAACATCATAAATCTCAATGACAGGTACAAAATAAAAGTAAAATGTCTATTATATTTACCTTTGAATTACTTGATTGAAACATAGTTCAGCTTGCATGAGTCTTCCCAAGTGTTTAAGACAAAGGCCTTTTAGTAACTGCAACATGCACACATCATCCATATAGTACTCTGTGTGGCCTGAAAGTAAAAGCAAAATACACCGAACAATTTGAAAACATGATCATGAAAAGGCAAACAAGATTTTCAGTAGGAGATAGGTAATCAGAGTCAGGAGCTTGCTTCTCAGAATTTTACAACTCAACACACATATAATCCATAGGCACAATTTAAATACTGTAAGACACTTAAATGTCTACTAGAGAGCATTCACATATAGCAATTATATATATATCTAAGAATAGAAGCTGGGAACAAGAAGAAACCTAAATATCCACGTGTTGCCCAGTCTTCTGTATTAGGAAGTCACTACAAAGAGGACATGAATTGGCATCAGCTAAAGACTTCTAACACATGTAACATCTACAGCAGAAAGGAAAGTACTGGCAGAACCCCCTCAGCACCAGCCAGAAATGTGAAAAGCACAAGATTTATTTCTGCATAATTATTAGGATGCGTTATGCGGCAATAGAAATTCAATAAATCATCTTTATTAGCATTAACTCTAACAATTAAAAAGGTTCACTATTAGAGTATGACATTTGGAAAACTCAAGAAAGCTTTATGCTGAATAGGACTAAAAATACCAGACAAAATGAGTTGTGGCAAAGTGGTATGGAAATTTAAATATGTAATTTTTTTTTTTTTTTTTTTTTTTTTTTTTTTTTTTTTTTTTTGCCTTGGTTTATAGCATTTGCTAGGTGTAGGGAAGGAAAAGAAAGAAAACACATATGGATAGACAGATGGCTGCACATACATTAACAATTCAAGAAGCAAAACATCCTCCCTCCAAATCATGTTGTTTACAACTAATTACCAGCTCTCTGAGGTCACGTTATTTTTTTTTTTTTAATAGTCTGCCAAAACATCCTACATAAGTAGTTCTGAAATATGTGAGACAAGAGTATGTTAGGATTTGGGCAGTGCTTTTGCACTGTACTCCAGCTTACTTCTGTCTGTGTTTAAACTCAGAAAGTCTTGATAGATAACAATCAACAGACTGTGCTTTTAGTGACACGTAGAAAAAGATGGCTGCATTCCTCTAGCCTGTTTTTACTAGTGTTAGATTCGTGTGGTTATCTCCCAAAGAGCTAATTCCTCAAAACTACTAGGACTAAGATTGATATCAGTAAAATCCAGCCACTCTTTATTTATTTTTTTTCCAACTAACATCTCCCTGGTATGTCCCACAGGAAGAAAAGACAGTAAGCCAAAACACTGCAACAGGAACAGTAAGTGCAGAGTCCAATTAAACATGGATAACCTTGGCAATATATTTGGAAGACCATCTTCCTGCAGTTCTCTGTACTAGAGGAAATACTGCCATTATTTTATGGCAATGTAACTACAAAATGATTTTTTCTTAATGTTACCAATTCTTTATTTTACATACATATTTAGAAATGACAAAAATGCTGAAAAATCCTGAGAAAAAATGTAATTTCTGAAGCGTTCCATCCCACTCCATCTGTCATCTCTATTTTGAGCTCTATACAACCATTTTTCAGTCACTGACAGATTCCTTGCTGTGCCCATTCACACGAAGCAAATGCAGTAACAGCTCTCTCTGAGAAGCATCAATCCCTAAATGACCTCTGTGTATAATTAACCTACTTTTTTTTTTTTTTAACAGCACCTTAGTGGTCCTTTTAAGCTTTCTACTACTGACAGCTGTCTCTTAAAATAATGCTGTATCCACGCCTCACTCTGCTAATAGCCTTACACACTTTCTTTGGATCTCAACTCAGTGGCAGCAATTCTGGCAATCAGTGTCTTTATTTTGTCTGACTCTTTATCATTAAAAGTTTATCAGGCTCAAAGACAGAAATTCCAGAACAAAATCGTACTTCACTGCAGTTATTACTACAAAAGACAAATAAAATGTAAAAATAAATATGCTTCAGAATTACATCTTACTTGTAAACTGCTTGTTTCTATTAGAAGAACATACTGTTTTTACAGAAAAATACTATTTGAAAGCACCAGTAATTTATTTATTTTAGCTGCTGTTAACAACGGATTCCAAGTGATGAATAAACATTTTATGCCACAGTCTAAAACCACAGCACTACTATTTAGTCTAAGCAAGATGTAATTCAGATTTTTGTAATATTCATTGCACACATACTCGTTTACTTTTTGGACACTCATTTTTACAAGAATTAATCTCCATCTGAACGCTATAGATAAATAGCTCAGCTTATTTTTTATGTGACAGCAACTCATAAAAGAACCTATAGATACACAGTCTGATTTCTTTGGACTTCTTGGTTTATTTGCTTGGACAGGGTAACTAAGTTCATTTTCCTATGCAGGAAGTTCTCACACAGAGAGAAAGCAGCCTTATTCTTAATGACTTACTCACTTAAGGCATATCCATTTATCCTCACCCATGTTTTACCCTACCATTCGGTTGTTAAAAAGGAAGTCACACCAGTGTTTTGAAGAAAATTAAAACAACAAACAAGACCATTCTGTTTCTCCGCCAGCCTCTGCTTTTATGGATACGTAGATCCTAAAACACCAATCAGCTGCTTTCTGCTTCAACAAGAACTCACCTGTTTCTTTAGACATAAGTATCTTCTATACCCCTAATCATCTAATTCATTTCTATTTCAGTGCTACTCCAACTGTTTTACTGTTTCTTTAATGGTGGCATCTTGCACATATCTGCCAACGAATTTGACAGGAAATTGACTTCACTGCTCTAAATTGACTAGATACTTACAGTATAGATCTCTGCATGAAACACCTCTGGATTCTCAACAGCTTCTGCCAGAACTCTTTCCGCAAAATTCAGAGCAGCATAACTTTATCTGCAGATGTCTTGCTTTTTGAATCATCGAATCACAAGGTTGGAATGGACCCACAAGATCATCATCAGCTTCACCAGTGCTGAGCACAGGCTGATGATTACCTCCCTACTCCTGCTGACCTCACTATTTCTAACGCAGGCCAGGATGGCATTGGGCCTCTTGGCTTCCTGGGCACACTGTCGGCTCACATTTAGCCAAGATCAACCAACACCCCCAGGTCCCTTTCCTCTTCACAGTCATCCAGCCACTCGTCCCCAAGCCTGTAGCGCTGCGTGGGGTTCTTGTGGCCAAAGTGCAGGACCCTGCACTTGGCCTTGTTGAACCTCATCCCATTCACCTCAGCCCAGAGATCCAGCTTATCTAGATCCCTTCAAAGGGCCTCCGTACCCTCAGGCAGATCGACATCACCTCCCAACTTGGTGTCATCTGCAAACTTACTGAGGGTACACTCAATCTCCTCATCTAGGTCATCAGTAAAGATATTAAACAAGACAGGCCCGAGTACCAAACCCTGGGGGACACCACTTGTAACGCATAGCCAGCAGGACTTAACTCCATTCACTCATTGGGCATGGCCCTCTAGCCAGTTCCTTGTGTAAAGAAGAGTATGCCTGTCCAGGCCATGGGCAGCCAGTTTCCCCAGGAGAATAATGGGGAATACTGTGAGAGACCGTGTCAAAGGCTTTGCTGAAGTCTAGGTAGACTACATCAACAGCCTTCCCCTCATCTACCAGTCTGGTCACCCAGTCATAGAAGGAGATGAGGTTGGTCAAGCACGACCTGCCTTTCATGAACCTGAGCTGGGCCTGATCCCCTGGGTGCCTCGGACGTGCTGTATGATCTCACCCTAGGTGATGTGCCCCATAAATTTCCCTGGTACTGAGGTCAGGCTGACAGGCCTGTAGTTCCCTGGATCCTCCTTACGGCCCTTCTTGTAGATGGGCGTCACATTGGCAAGCCTCCAACCCTCCTGGACCTCTCCAGATAACCAGCGCTGGTAGATGGCTGAGAGCAGCTCGGCAATCATCCGTGCCAGCTCCTTCAGCCTGTCTGATCCAACGGACTTGTGACAATCCAGACGGAGGAGGAGCTGTCTGTCTCTACCTGAATCACCATGGGCATATTCTGAGTAGCATTCCAGACTTCCAGATCAGGGTGTAGATAAGGGACCCCTGCAACAAGCATCCTGAACAGGTCAGAGTCCAGCCTCCTGAAGTTCAAGGTAGCAGTTTTGCTAGTTCCCCTTCTGACATCTCCAAGAAGAGCGAATTCTACAGTTTCATGGTCGGTCTGCCCAAGACAGTCCTCAACCTTCACATCTCCCACCAGTCCTTCTCTGTTAGTGAAGAGCAGGTCTAGCAGGGCACCACCCCTGGCAGGCTCTTGTACGAGCTGCGTAAGGAAGCTATCTTCCACACACTCTAGAAACCTCTTTGACTGCTTCCTCTGCTCTGTATTATATTTCCAACATACATCAGGGAAGTTGAAGTCTGGTGATCGTGCAACTTCCACAAGTTGCTCATAGAATGTCTCATCCATCTCTTCAACCTGATTAAGTGGTTTATAACAGACCCCCACCCAGATGTCACTCTTACGGGCCTTCCCCGTGATTCGTATCCATAGACACCCAACTTCTCAAATTCATAACCCCAAGCTCTTCAACATCAAAACAGTCTTTAATATATAAAGGGCCACACCACCACGCTTCTTTCCTTGTCTTCCCTTCTGAAGAACTTATAGCCATCCATCACAGTGTTCCAGTCATAGGAGTGGTCCCACCATGTTTCAGTGATACTACCTAGGTCATAGTTAGCCTGCCGCAAAATCGCTTCCAGTTCCTCCTGCTTGTTGCCCATGCTGTGTGCATTGGAGTAGGTGCACTCCAACTGAGTCACCTGCCTCACCCACAGCTCGAGCATTGTTCCCCTAGGCTCTCTCTGGTGAGCCTCTGGTAAGTCTCCTTCCCCCATTGCAGCTAGTTTAAAGCTCTTTCGATAAGCCCCGCTAACTCCTGCACTGGGATTTGTTTCCCACGTTGAGATAGGTGGGTTCCATGCACAGGCCAGGGACCACGTCAACTGCCCCATGATCAAAGAGCCCAAAGTTTCTGCCTCAACACCAGCCTCTGAGCCAAGCGTTGGATTCAGGGTGACATTAGACGTGCAGGCAGATTCCTTGGGAAATGTAGAGATCAAATGGAAGAGA